AAAAAAAAAAAAAAAAAAAATATTCGAGAAGCGTCTAGCTCCAAAATTCTTCAGTTAAATATAGTTATTATCAGAGATTTGTCAAAATCCAGCCCAAGCAAAACAGAAAAAAAGCAGCTGTTGATAGGTGAGTAAACTCCAGTTAATCCGTAAGCAAGACAAGCAACGAGCATTACTTAAAAAAATGCATCCAGTTCTTACGACAGTTAGGAATATCAAATTCTACGCGAGCACACCTCAAAGCCTTAGAATAACTTTGACAAAAAGAAAGATGAAGAAATGTTTTTCACACTATACCTGTTTCCCAAACAACGATTCTGTACTACAGCCCAGACAGGTAGTGACAAAAAGGCCACGAGAGAATACAATAAATGAAAGCCGACGGGACAAATGCATCAAATCAGGTGAAGTATCCAAAAATCATCAGAATTTTACGCAGTACTAGATATCCAAAAAAAATTGAGAGTGCAATAAAGATTTGAAAGCTAGTCAAAAATTAAGACAACAAAAAAATTTCAAGCTGCAAGTTAGTGATTGGAAGAGTGAAACTTGATGCAAAGAGTGAAGAGGAAAGCTAAGCATATTTCCGGAGATATTCAAAGTAAATTAGTGCAAAATGGTAGCGATAAAGTTCGTGACAGAGAAAGTTCTAAAGTTTTAGACTGTACTCGAACGTTATACAACACAAACCTTTCTATCGACGCCGACTTGATGCAAAGATGTTCGACTGCGACGAGCTTCTGCAATTTCATCCTTATATTTGTCAAACATACCAGTAGGTAGCTGTATAGCATCCGGTTGGTCAACAGATCGTCTCATCTGCTCATATCTTGTAGGCACGTAAGAATTGTAATTTTGAGAGTCAGAGTCGGCATAAGGGATCTTTTCCGAAGTTGTTGTATTTATCGACGTGTCTAATTCGTATTGCTTGCCAGAACGTTTTTCCCTGTACCATTCAGGCACATGCAATTTCTCTGTCGATTTTCGAAAACGTAACTCATGTTCTGAGGGATCCGGTGTTTTTTCGCCAAATTTTTGCAGTTCATTCTCTGGTGGCGCAGATTCTTCTCGCATTCTAAAATGGTATGACTTAAAATGAAGGCCTTCAAAAAAAGTGCCCAAAACATTTATCGCTTATCGACATTGGTCGCTCTCAAACATCAATGGCGTACTTTCGATCCATTAAATAATCAGCACTCTTTGACCGGACATGCGAAGACGGCTCGAAGGAGTTGGCCATATCTCGTCTACTCTGCCTTGAATAGCCCAACACTGAACCGGAGCGATGAACGTCATCGAGATTTGTTTCTTCTATCTATAAAAACGTGCTAGTCACTCGTTCAAACGATTCTGAGAACCGTAAAGAAAACAATAAAACTTCTCAATATTACCTAATAATCAGTTGAACCGATCAATTCAAATTCATTTCAATGTGGATAAAATAACATTGGGAATGAATGTAAGGAATTATAGCTCAATTTTAAGAGTCTTCTCAGAACTCGAATTCAATCGGTAAACTGAATCAAAACGGGTGTTGGAAGAGCACGGTTTCACTCCAACATTAGAATGTATGAAACTACAGAAGCTACTGGAAACAAAGGAAGGAAGCAAGCGGAAAAAACTGAAAGCAAAACTTGACATCTTGGAACGACCTGTCGCTGTATGGAGCCTATGTCTCTTATACCCGTGTCAAGATTGGTCTCCAAGTATGTTGATGAGCAAGCCAAACTGCGGCTATACAAATTGGGCTGTGAGGCCCGCTGTCTATAAGCAGCCCAGGTTTTGTCCACTTTTTCAAACAAACGCCGATATTCCTGTGAAGATTCGTCGTAAAACCAAATAACTGTTTGGAGAGAAAAATTTCAAGTGCTAAGTTAATGTACTGAAAAAGCGGTGTTACAAATATTTGAGAGCAAAATACAGCACAGAGGGGTTTCAGCGAGTATACAAAAAGGGCTTAACTGTAAGGGTCACAGCAAAAGCTGCTTTCTTTTTCAAAAAATTTCTACAATAGTCAGGAAATTATGGTTCTAAAAAAAATTTCAACTGTAATGACAATATAAAAAGAGAGTTCGCGTTATTAGATTTTCCGACTTTCTAGTGCAAATTTTGAAATGAAAGCAAAATCTGAGCAGGAAGGTTAAAGTAAGTCGTATGTGTAACTGAAGTGATAGCGACAGGAAGGCAGCTTAAACAAAACAAAAGTTATGCTACATGTGAGAGCAACAACTGGCAGAGAACAACTAAGGTAACCGAACAAAAAAACAATTTAAATATTTGAAGCAAGCGACATAAAACTTCTCGAAAAAGAACCTCATCGTAGGGACTTGGTCCAACTCTAGAGTACGGGATATTCCGGAAGTCTGTCTTGGTTACAAATTCGCTGTCGCTATATTTCTGAACAAGTGGCGTCCGGAGGTCGCTAGAAGGTTTCAGAAAAGGTTCATCTACAGAAGCCTTGAATCGGTCACTCAGTGGGTCTAAAACCATTTGCTCTGGTATAACATGGTGTCGTAGATTCATAAAGAAAAGCTCATATATGTATATAAATACAAAATTTTTTCTTATTCCATCGTCAAGCAGCTATAATAATTTTAGCTAAAAAAATGGAATTATGAATTTGGTGCCTTATTATAAGGAGTCAATTTTTTAACGATCAATACCAATACCACCTGATATAGGGCTAGCATCAGGTGTTAAGAAATCCTTTTTAGCCTTCTCCATCCTTAATTTGTATTTACTTGACCTCCTTGTTGAACTGCGATTGAACTCTTCATCTTCTGTGAGTCGTCGTTGATAAATACGCTCCTTTCCCGAACTAAGATCCGCATCTGGAGAATCGCCAGATGCAGAAGTTTTTGGGTACCTACAACTCAAAAAAAATTATTGCTTGAAGGACAGATCAAAATACACTTCAGTTTAACTGAGATACTTTTTAGCTCGGTGTTCAACAAACCGAAAAGAACAGATGACGCTGTCTTACAGAACATCTCAACATTACCATCCTATCTGCCGAAGTAATTATGTAGAACGTATTGACCGAAGAAAGTTTAACAAGCCGAATTAGCAGTTTAAACTTAGTTTTTCAACTTATCAAGCCCTTAACTTAAGCACTTACAACTAATAAAATATAACGACAAAGATCAAGAAATAGAGAATCTTTTATTGAAATTTTAATGGTCCTGGTTGACAATCGCCCGGTGTTCCCAAAAATAGCGAAAGCCGCGAAAACAAATTGCTGCTTAAATCCTTCTCACAAAGCCATCATACCGCGTCAGTACAGTAAATCAGTATTTCCAAAAAAGCTAATCAGTATTTAACTTTTTATGGTTAGAAAAGATGGTAGTGTGCAAGAAGCGTGATGGTGAAGCAGGTACTTTATTGGTTCAAAACTTTTCAGTTACAAATTCATATCACGAGCAAAATAAAAGCAAACGTGCAAATAAATGCGACATAGAAAACTAAACATTGCAAAAAACTTACATGCTTGAACCACCACAGCTTCTCAAAACAACAAACCAGTCCAGTAGTTCCAAACACATAATTAACTACAGAATAAGTACGAAAAAAGAGAAATGCAAATAAGGTAAATCTAACTGTGAAAAATGAAAGTTCCGAGAAATGATTTAGACTGTACAGCAAGTAAAAAGTTCATCTCAAACGTCTATAGCTCAACCCCAGGGATTTCGAATCTCATTTTTCCCCGGTAGGCAGCACGCAGAAATGGGTCTTTTCTCCTGTGAACTGATTGTTGAATTGACAAAGAAAAAAAATAAGTAGTTGCTGATAATAACTCCGGACCCTAAGCTACAAACTCATTAAGGACCCATGGATGTAACAAGACTAAAACGAGTTCAGTACGCTCAACGACCTGATTACGGCTCTGAAGTTGTAACGAAAAACCTAAAAATATAACTTCCTCTGTAAATAAACATGCAGGACGACAAGATAAACAGTGTTCATCGCTTAACGATAAAAGAACTACTCAGAGAGCCACCGAGTTTGCAGGCTTCATATGGCCATACATCATTTACATTACGAATGAGAAACGGTAAACGATGATGTGCTCTAGAAGCCGTTTCGAAACGAGTAAAAATGTTTTCTAAGACTATACCTAAACGCGTTATATGTAAGAACCCTTTCGAGCATGATATAAAGCAAACGAAACAGCAGAAAGGAACATAAATAAGCGACACAATAGCAAACGAAAATAAAGTAAAAGTGAAGAAAGAAATGCATGGCCGTGATAAAACCAATAAATTCAATGTCGCTAAAAAATTGCGTAAATGCTTCCCATGCAACCCAAATAGTTCACCACTAATTACACAGTTTCACCCTACAAAAATGCATAAATGGCTTTTTCTATAAATCACGAACGACATATAGTTAAGCCGAGCCCTTATAAACATCCTCATCGTAACAAATCCAGTAATCTGCCACTACAGTAACCTACACATATTACAAAAAATTTCCCAAATTCATCTATATATTTTGAGGTAAAAGAGCAGATTTGCATTCGTGACCTATACTAAATTCATAGCATTTTTTTATCCCTCCGCATTTAGATAAAAGGATAAATACAGAGCAGTGTCACTACCAAAGAAATTTCTATCAATAATAGACTCTCATGTCCAAAAAATATTCATACATAGCTAATGCAGGTGGTCACCGTCGTCATCTACCAAGAAAATCTAAAAGTAGGTAAAGTAAACAAATTTAGAAGCTCAAATGTATTTACCTTTGGTCATCAGACCAATAAGTCCTGTCCACTCTCTCTATTATCTGCCGTTCGACCTTGGTGGTCACTTCGCCACTGAGGTTTTCACGTGACCCGAAAGGTTTCATTTGCAAGTTTTCACGTGAAAAATATGGAGCCTTAGTAAGTTTTTCGAGTGTCTCGTGAGATGTCAGCATCTGACGCCTCCTATCACGTTCTTCCATTTCTTCCACCAAACGCCGTTTCTCGTTCTCCATCTTCTCCTTTTCCTCAATTTCTCGTGCAATTAAATCCAACTTATCCCGACTTCTCTTGTAGTCGCGCTTTCGTGCTATCTCTCGAGCCTCTGCTTCACGCCGTTCGCGCTCTCTCATTTCAGCATTTCTTTTCTCCATCTCACGCAGCTCAAAAAGTGTTCGTTCCTCTTCAATTCTTAAATATGGTTTACAATCAAACACTTATCAGCTGCGCTTCGTTCATCACGCAAAATCAGTGAGCATCTTAAAAATGCTTCACTAATTAAAGAATTACTACAAGAATGATCATGCCGAAAGAAACCAGATGTTGTTTATCACCGAATACAGATAAAGAGATAACTAAAAAGCCAATCACTGAAAATTACTATAAAGATTTTCTTAATACAGTGCATACAGCTATTTCAAACCTTTCACGTTCTCGCCTTTCTGCTTCAAGTCTTTCACGTTCTTTAAATTCCTGAGTCTTCCTTACCAACAGTTCTCGATGCTCCTCCAACTGCTTTTCAGCTTCGCGGGCGAGACGTCTGTAATTCTCAGTAGCGGCTTGCAGATACTTTTAATGCATAAACACAGCGGCAAAATACCGCAGTCAGAGCCCAAAAAATCAAAAATACTTCAGGTTTAAAAAGTGAAGCGTATCCTCGTAAAATATTCAAACGTAAACCTTTCTTGAGCAGCCTTCTCCAGAGCTGCAAGCTTCTCACGTTCCATTTGCTCCTCAAGCTGTCTCTCGTGCTCCCTTCTGATCTGTTCCCTCCGTTCCCTTTCTCTACGTTCAGCTTCCCGTCGTTCTTCATCTTGTCTTGCACGTTCCCTCCTCTCGTCCTCCAGCCTCTCTTTTTCCCTCCGTTCAGCTGCTCGACGTTGGGCTTCGAGAAGTTCTTTCTCCCTTCGTTCATCCTCCTAAGCTTCTTGGCCGTTAAAATGAGTTATATTCCATGCAGATTAAGTCAGAAGAATTAGTTGTAAGAAAAAAAAATAAAAAGAGCCTTGACCAACAATAATAACATTACTACAGTTCCATAAAGCAAATTTCTAGATCGTCTGATCTTACTTACCAAACGTTGCCTTTCGCGTATTTCAATTTCCTGTCGTTCCAGATCTATACGTTCCTGTTCTTTTCTTAACGCTTCTAAACGTTCTTTTTCCAAGCGCTCTGTAAGTCGTCGTTGAGCTTCTTTTTCTTCAGCTTTGCGCTGCATCTCAGCCAGCATCTCGGCATCTCTATAATTTATTACCCGTTAGCCATTACTTTGGCAGGCAAATGGCCAGTCCAACAGATTATACATACCGCCTTTCCTGCTCTCGTCTCTGTGCTTCCCGCTGCTCTTCGGCAGCTCTTTCGGCTTGTCGCTTTTCCTCCTCTCGCCGCTGAGCTTCCCGCAGTTTCTGTTCTATACGAAGAAGCTCACGCTTTTCTTCTGCAATACGCTCCCTTTCCAACCGCTCCTTCTCTCTCCTTTCCGCCTCCTCTCGTTCCTTTTCCCTTTCAAGCCTCTCCTTCTCAATTCTCTCCCGTTTGATTCTTTCTATCCTTTCTATTTCTAGCCTTTCCATTTCAATACGCTCTCGTTCTCTTCTTTCCCTTTCCAGACGCTCACGTTCCTGGCGTTCTCTTTCAAGACGTTCCTTCTCACGTTCTAAACGTTCTCGCTCAAACCTTTCCTTCTCAAGTCTTTCCTCTTCCAATCTAGAAAAATGCAACACGATACCAGACGATATTTCAAGTTTTCGGATAAATATCACGCAAAGAGGTAAAAAGCAAATTTTCTCACGGTGTTACAATAAAAAGGACAATCATACAAAGCACAAACCCATCACGGAAAACATGAAAGGTTAAGTAATTAGGAATAAACGTTATCTCTTATATACATAACGAACTATCTTAACAATTTTTAGACAAGGCCGCCAATTCCTGCCGTCTTTAAGACTACTGAAGAACGTCGTGTTTGCAAATTGGCGTACTCCTCTTGAAAACAACAAGATAAGCGCCATCAGATAAAATGTGGTTTCCAAAATTAAGCTATACGCATTCTATCACTACCTTTGCTTCTCTAGGCGTTCTCTCTCCATCTGTCTCCTCTTTTCCAAGTCTTGCTCTTCAAGCAATCGTCTTTCACTTTCCCTACGTTCCCAGTCCTTCCTTCTTCTCATCTCCGCTTCCTCCCTCGCTCTCCTATCCCGTTCCAGTCTTTGAAGTTCTTGGCGTTCACGTTCAACTCTTTCAGATTCCAAGTTACGATGCTACAAAATGAATAATATTTAAGACGAGTAAGGCAAAGAGAAATCGTACCCAAAACACTTACAAAAACTTTATTTTCTAATGAAAAATCTAAAAAATACTACGCAGCAGCAACAATTACTCGTTGTTCACGTTCTTGTTTCATTTTTTCAATCAGCTCTCTTTCTCGCAACTCCCACAACGCACGTTCTTCTTCACCTCTACGCCGACGCTCTTCTTCCTCTTGCCTTCTACGTTCCTGATCCTCTTTTATTCGTCTTTCTTCTTCTTCTAAATTTCTGGTGTATTTATAGCTGTAGTCAACCATACGTTCTTCCCTGGGATAATGACGTTCATTAGAAGGATATCTTTCACGTGAAGTGGTTATTGGCGAGGATCTGGACAATGGGGGTGCAGAAAGTGCCTCAGTTGATCGTGTGACATAGGTTCGTGTCATCACTTCTTTCCTGTAATATTCTTGAAAATTGTCTCCCCACGGTGTCGTACCACTCCTGTACTCGACAGCAGTCGTAGCACCCGGTCCAAGTGATGACACAGCGCGAACTGGAATTTCACGTACTGTTGATCTGGAGCGCATATCTGAAACATCAGATAATTAACAAATTAAACCGCGAAAAAATATAGAGCAGCTCCAAAAAAAAGGCTTACTCGCGGATTTATCCAAACTTTTGGATGATATTTAACCCACATTATACTAATTAAAAGACAAGTTAAACAAAGTTTGAACAAAGGAGGTTAGCGATCTGTTTGCTCTCAAAGACAAACAGTTCTACATACTTCATGCCACTTCTTGTTTTTTGATAACGGTGGTTAATTATTTTCTAACGCTCGCGCGAGTCCCTTGCCACTTAATATTCTGTGTCAACAACAAGCATAGAAACAAAATGCTGGGAAAAAACCTGGAGGGACATGTACAAGAAATTTCACTCAAATAAAACCAAAAATAATCATAATGGTCAACCATCATAAATTTAAATGATCACTTTTTTTTTCTAAATCAAATATTTGGAACACCGAAAGGCGAATAAACAGCTAAATAACTGCTGCCTCATAAAGATTTTATACTGAGCGATGAAAATGTATTTCACGCATCTTTTTAACTTCAAAAAAAGAGAGCTTTCTTGTAAGGCCAATGTTTTTTCAAAATTCATAGAGTACACAGACGGTACTCAATAGAAAAAGCGGGATGATACTATAAAACATTCTCAAATAACATGTACACGTGTCAAAAAAACCAAGTAATATACCCGATCGCTGCCCATCAAATTCGTCTCGGGACATGTCAAGACTCCGAGCCTCACTGGGAGTTTGATACGGCTGAAACAGTACTAATTAGGTTACTTATGATCTTTTACCGTGAATAAACTACCAGAAATTCATCAAAATTTCCACCACTAACCAATATTTAATTACATTTTACTCACAAAACGATTTAAATTAGTGCTTGCACTTTGCAATTACCAGTCATTTAGGTGACTGTATCTCTTCCCTAACTACTTCTACCATCTAAATTAATGTGGCTCATTATGTCAAAATGAATAATGATTATTCTTCCAAAAACTTCTGAAAAAAACCCTTCTTCCTCCCTCCCCATACTTTCCTTTAAAATCTGCTGTGCAACGTGCAGTCAATGAAAAATCAGTAACATATTTGCTTCCACACTTGAAGTAAACCCCCCAACCAGTGAACAACAGACTTGAATATATATATATATA